CCCCAAAACCCCAAAACCCCGAGAGCTTAGATATATGTAGATATTGTATTAATGGTTAGTTAATAATATAATTATCATGTTTTCACCAGTATTCGAACACATTTTTGAGTAGTAGCCTCCCACCAGCTTTATCTTTTGGTTAATAATGATTCTTGGATCAATCAAGCTAATATAAATGTTAGTGGGATTATTGAAACTCATAAAGCAGTACATATTCAGAAGAGAATTAGATTTGCATTAAGTATATGGTGGCAAAGAAAGCTGGGCCCTGGTAACAGGTGGCTCAGATGGAATAGGCTTCTAATATTGCATAGATCTTGCAAAAAGAGGATTCAACATTTGTATAGTATCAAGAAATGCTGAGAAGATTGATTTAAAAATCTAGGAGCTGAAACAAATTCTTGGAGACTAAGCGTCTAGCCTAAAATTTAGATCTGTAGTGGCTGATTTTTCAAAAATGTCCTAAATATCTTAGTATTAGGAATTAGCCACAAAGGTACAAGATATTGATGTTGGTATGCTTATCTTGAATGCAGGCACAGCAGTATTTGGTAAATTCTAGAACCTTACTGATTAAGAAGTAGAGGAACTTGTTAACTTAAACGCTATTCACAATGTTTACCTATTTAAGGTTTTCGTTGATAAGCTCTATTTGAGATAAAAGAGATCAGCTGTAGTTTTACTATCAAGTGCCCTAGGATTATCTCCAGTTCCAGGTATTGCAGTTTACAGTGCTTCAAAAGCTTTTTTAAGACATATTGGAATTGGAGTAGGAAAAGAAGTAAGAGATAAGATTGATATCTAAACTTTTGTTTGCGGTCAAGTAAATACTAGTTTGAATCCAGGCTAAGCAAGTGGGTTGAAGACGACAGCAGTTATGTCAGTAAAAAATTCTTTAAGAGACATAGGCTAAGATTTAGCCACTGCAGGGCCTATCTAGCATGTGCTATAAGGCTGGATAGTTAAGAATTTATCATTTGGGGTTGATAAAATTATGCTTAAGGCAGCTGAGAAAAAATCAATAGAAATAAGTGCAAAAAAAATATAATGATTTGATTGCTAAGGATAGATTGAAAAATGAATCCTCAAAAATATGTAATTGCTGTGAAAATTGATTAATTTTATATTTTTAATCTTATACTTATTGCATTATCTAATGATTATTTTAAATAATGGGGTTTTGGGGTTTTGGGGTTTTGGGG